TCCTCCTCCTCCTCCTCCTCCTCCTCCTCCTCTTTTTCCTCCTTCTCCGACCCCTTCATTGTTCTGTATCTTATTCTGCCTTGGTTCTCGCACTGGGAAGGCACCAGGGACGGAGGAGTGGGGGGAGACTGGGGGTATCAGTTGAGCGGGACTTGCCGAAGCCCAAAGGTCGGGCGGTGTGTCGCGAGGAAGTGGTGGTGGGGGGGGGCAGGGTTGTAAAAGCTGCATTGCAGTTGTGTGAATGGTGGATCGGGGAGGTGGGGGAGCCCTCTCGGGTCGTGAGCTCTTCTCGACGGCCAGGGCTCTCTCTCTCCCCGCCTCTCTCTCGCCTTCTCGATGCCTGGTTCGCGAAAAGAAAAGCCTGGTGCCGTCCTTTTGATGGAAGCCCCGTTTCAGGGCAGGCGTGGTGATGGTGGGGTGGGGGCAGCCATCTGTGATGCGTACACCATAGATACGCCTGGAGGCTCGCTTTGCATCGAGCCTCTGCCGGAGACGTAGGCGTGAGACTTGTATCTCCCTCTAGGGAGGCTGCTTGCAGAAAGCGGTCAATGCCTATGTGCCGAAGAGATTGGGAACTGTCAGCATTTTAAAGATCCCCTTCTTAAAATCCGTGGCCTTTCCTTCCCCGATTTGGGATCTTTGCTACAGCTCTCAAGTCATACAACACTGGGAATGGAAGTGCTCCCGTAACAGATTTTGAAGGGAGTGTTCTCTGCTACAGGGCATAAAGAGAAGGGTGTATGTTGGGGGAACTAGTCTATCTGGCTGCATTCTGATTTCAGTACTCACAGATACCTTCTTGGACTAAAGCTTGACTTAAATAGGTTGGCTATAACCTATCATAAGCTACATTTCCCCCCCTTTCCCTGTTATGCAACACTCTTGACACAGTAGACAACCCACAAGATACACTGTTTTCTTGGTTTGGCTTCGCTTTTTTGTTTTTGTTGTAAGATACTATTTAAAAAAGAAATACTCCCCCCCCTCTCCATAGTTGAGACCCATTAGTAGCTTAAATGTAATCATGGTGCTGATTCTACACCTTGCCCTTGAGTGTTTGCTGTAGAACTAGTGCTGTAAAAGTGCTGCTTTCCTAATTCACAGATTTTTTTGCTGGAGTAATTTTGAAAGAACAGAGGGGGGTTTAGTTTTGCATGCACTATTTATTAGGCTGTTTGGAATGGGCAGTGCTTATGCAAAAGAGATTTCCAGATGGAGATGGGAGTGAGTTGGTTTGCAAAGTGATCTCACAACATTGTTTCAGAGTCCATAATACATGAACCTTAGACATACCACCTGGAAAGATTTGCTGCTAAATCTCAAGGTCTAAGTCACATCTGAACTTCAGCTCTTTTGAAAAAATCCTTATCTTTGTACTAGAGTGTCTTTCTCCAAGCTGGGAAGTTCTGGGTGGTAATTCATTATTGAAATATTCAGCCACACGGAGAGGGAATTATTGGAATCAGAATCCCAATTCTTTTGGTTACAAACTAGGTTTTGATATAAATTTCTGACTCTCTAATGAATGTAGTTCTACATTAATTCTCTGACACACCAGAAGATAATTCTGGATCTACGGTTGTGCCTTTTGATTTAAGTAGAGGTGAGATATGACTGATTATATTTCCAAAAGCTAATAACGCAATACTATCATTCATAATTGTTCCTAGATATCCTGTATAGTTCCTTCAGGAAATTTCTTAATCTGCTCTCAATGCCAAAACAGGTTTTAGTGGCTGCTTTATAGCAAGTTACTCAGTGGCTTGCAATATGCTTTCCACAAATGTATTCCACAAATATATTCCTCTCTTCTGTGGTCTTTTTTACTTGTAGTTGTATATTTAATTCTGAGAAGAGAGACATATTGAATTTCTAGTGTATTAGCAGAACACAACTTGAAATTCCACCTGACATTGTTCAACCATTGAATAAAACTGTAGAATTTAGGTTCAGTTGGTATCAGTATTAAGTTCTCCTCAGCATATTTTAGGTGCTTTCAATGAATCAGGTTGCAACTTGAATTAGTAAAGTAGTAAGTGCCAGATTGAGGAAAAGGACTTCTGGCCTCTGTTTTTGTGTTCTGCATTTTTAGTGACTGGATGCCATAACAGATCGTTCTGCATCACATATCATCTGATTGTGCATAATTTGGGCATTTTTCATATCACAGTGCTTTACAATTGAGTAACCTAATGTAGCTTCTTTCCTTATTGATCTTTGTCAGAGAGAAAAGAATTTCAAAAAGTACTTTTTTCTTGCAGTAAGTAATAATCCTAAAATATTTTTAGCAGGACAATGTGGGTATGAATGTACCCTTATTTCTGAGCAACTTTAGCAGATGTTCATTTTCCTTTATTTATGATAGTTGTTCATGTTGTGAGAAATGTGAATGGAATTTAAAAAGAAAAATATTTAAATTGGAGTTATTGAAACAATTGAGCCCAAATTTTATTAGGAAAGACAATTATGCTTCTTTCACAAATTGATTCATCCTCTTCTTATCTGTGATCTATAGTAATGGGATCTTGTTGGAAGAGCAGTTAAAAGCAAGATGGGATTTATACAGTGGCTGTAAGTCATGGTTTATAAGCCATAATAGTTGGCTTCACAGTCTGCATTTAATCAAAGTAAAAAAAACTGCATGGTTTTTAGAAGAGTAACCAAAGAGGATTATTCTAATAGATGATTTTGAATATATATCAAGAACTTATTTTAACAGTTATTAGTTATGTTTATTGTGGATTGTTTTTTAACTGTTTATTGATGCATTATAGAATTGGCTGTATGCAATTAAAGTATACAATATAAGTAAATTATGGGTTAGCCTAATGTGAAAACTCATTAAAAATGTGAAGACCTTAAATTATGCCACAAATTGTAGGCAGTTAAGATACATGATTTACATCTCCAATATAACACCTAGATTGTTGTGTATGTTTAAATATCTGCAATAAATCATTCATTCATGTTGACCACTCAACATGTAACTTCTCTCCATTTGTTCTCCAGACAACAGATAGACAGCAGCTGTTGGTTCATTGTATTTGGGTTGCCTTTCTCAGTTGACAAGAAAGAATGAGAAACAAATTGGCTTGTACTATCCTTGGCTGTCTCCAGATAAGGGATTTAATTTGCATTATGCACTTATCATTTCAGAATGGTAACAGTGTTTTCACACAATAGCTTGGCTCTTATATAGTTTTAAGCCAAGCCTTCCATCTTTCCGAGGTTGGTAAAATGAGGACCCAGATTGTTGGGGGCAATATTGCTGACTCTGTAAACCACTTAGAGAGCAACTGTAAAGCACTGTGAAGTCTAAGTGCTATTGCTATTTACAGCAGGGAGGAGAACTATAAAAGCATATAAAAGCCCTTATCCCAATAATACACTAGATTATCAAGATTTAAGATGTTGAGACTCCAAAAAAGTGACTTCATCTGATTAACGGGGGATCTGTGAATACTTTTGCCTTCTTCCTATCAACTCTACTTATAGATTTAAGAAGGAAGAACCTTGTTGTTGTTAGTTGCAAAGTCATGTCCAACCCATCACGACCCAATGGACAGTGTTCCTCCAGGCTTTCCTGTCCTCTACCATCCCCCTGAGTTCATTAAAGCTCAAGGCTACTGCTTCAGTGACTCCATCCAACCACCTCATTCTCTGTTGTCCCCTTCTTCTTCTGCCCTCAGTCTTTCCCAGCATTAGGCTTTTCTCCAGTGAGTAAAAGATGGCTTCCAGGTCTGACGCCTTCCTTCTCATTAGTTGGCCAAAGTATTTGAGTTTCATCTTCAGGATCTGGCCTTCTAAAGAGCAGTCCTCTAGGACTTACCTGTTTGATCACCTTGAAGTCCAAGGGATTCACAGGAGTCTTTTCCAGCACCATAGTTCAAAGGCTTCAATTCTTTGGCGCTTTGGCCATTATGGTCCAACTTTCACAGCCATACATTGCAACTGGGAAAACTATAGCCTTGACTATACGCACTTTTGTTGGCAGAACCTAGAAATGTTCTTTATGCCATAGAAAATGACAATTTGGATAGTAAGTTTTTAGAATGATGTAATACAATCATTCCCTCTGATAAGGGGTAAGAGATCTAGACCCATTGTGGATTGTAAAAATGGCTAGGTTGAGTTAGGTGGCTATAGAAATAAACAAACCAGGTGTGATGGTCTCAGTAGTTATTGGGATACTGGGTCCCATATCAAAAAATCTTGGACAGCACTATTAATCTGAGCATTGAGAAAAGTTCCACATCAGTTGCCACATTGCTTGGATCTATATACATTATGACATTCTAGGGATACAGAAT